CACACACACACACACACACACACAAGTGCACACCTGGGACAACCTCAATTAACCATCGAGCATGCTCAAAGCAGTCATTAACGGGCAAAACAGAAGAAAGAAAAGGTTTAAAACAGCAGTAACTGAGCATTTATCCTTTTTTAAGCATGAAAAACATCTTTGAATTATTGAAATATGACTAAATTCTGACTAAAACACCCAATTCAACCTGAAACATTTGTTTGAATATGTTCTTGTTTTCTTTTTGGGTTTTATAAAGTAATTGCATGATATATAACAGTGATTTTGGCTTTGGTGAAACAACGAGAGGTGGAGACAGTAAGGAAAGGCAGAGCAATAATGAAGAAATACTGGCCAATAGTGGCCTGCAGAGATTTGAAGTAGAAGAAGGAAACAAGAGAGGAAATGTGTCATTAAGAGCATAGCCAATAGAATAAAGTATTTGGGTCAATAGCTGGAGAAAATCTTCTGAAGGCACATTTACAAGATTCACAATCTTATTAGTCTGTGTTTTTTGACATGATAAATGTGGAGGGCTGAGACTGCAGCATGCACGCACAATGGACCAGAGACCTGTGTCTGATTGAGCTTGTCAGTTAAACAAAACATGACCTATTCTAAACTAAATCTGTCCCAGCAGACAAACACGCCTCCTCCATCCGCTCCTGGATTAACCAAAACCAAACCAACAGCTCTGTTATTTACGACAAACAGAGGCTTAATTTAAGATTAACTGGAGGTGCAGATTCAACGGGTCTAGCTGTATATTACGAACACCTCCCCATCTCCACAACCAGTCATGCCGCCCATTCACGTACGTTTCAAAGATGAGTCAGGAGACAAACATTTCCATAAATCTAAACTGGTCCTTTCAGACTCAATTAAGGTGCGGAGACGAGCGAGAAGAGTAGACGGACGTCTTGCAGCTCGCTGAATGATTGATCCCACCTTCACTGATCCTACAGCAGATCACAGCCCTGAGACAACAAAGGCTCTCACACGGCAGATAAGCAGCAACATCAGTCCAGAGATAAAGCCACTGCAGACTCATAGAACACATGGTGCCATAATAACACGGTGATAAGCTTAATGTGGGGTACATCATGTTCACAATGCACATGAGCTGTATAAGAAGGCAACATAGCTTGTAGCAGTGCTTTTGTGAAGAATGGAAACCCACATAGGAGAGATCAGCAGGCCTGTGAATGTCTAAATACCAGCAGGATAAAACCCACACAAGGAAATGCAGCCTGTGGCCAAATACTGCATGTTCCTATTGACTCCATACAGCTCCCTATATAACTGTAGCTCCCAGATACCATATGGATTTTTCATAAAGCCTTTATGGGTTTGATGCAGATGACCATTTTATTGCCTCCAAATACTATGGAGATATATGAACCCTATTTGGCTTGAGGCAGTTCAGGAGGCACCAGAGCGTCAATAATTCATGCATCTCCACATGTGTGTGCATGCGTGAGTGGGAAAGGGTGCGAGGTCGTGGAGTTGCATGTGTGGAACCAAACAACACCTGCTTAGACCAAGTTGTTATTTTCATATTTCAACCTCCATTTATTTGAACCAAAAGAGAGAGAGATAGATCAGGGTTAAATCCACTGAAACTTAAATACAAAAATAAGGGACTCAAATCAATAGGAATACAGCTTACACATACATCCAGTGCTGTGGATCGAGGATGATGACAGCATTGTGGAAATGACAATACTCTCAATATGGCCAAAAGGAGAGAGCTTGGACAAGCCAAGAAACACTTCGCTTTATAGGCAACTGTGTAGCCTGGGACTGTCAGAGGTCTATTCAGTGTTAGTGGCTTGGGGCTGTGTGGCATGGTCTTAAAGCTAACAGTAAAAAAATAGAAGGGAGACTTTTCCAGAGCCACCCCAGATCCTATGTTTCACCCCCACCACCCCACCTCTCATCTCACCGTCTGGTCTGCCGCAGCAGGCGCCCTTTGCAGAGAGAGAGGGGCCATTATTGTTATTATTTCCATTATTATCCCGAGAAATTAAAAACAGAAAACCAAACCGAGCCTTGTGCGCAATGTGGTTGTAGAAGGTGATTATTTCTCTGTTCGGGGCAATGGATTGGTTAGAAATCGTGCGTCCCCGCCACTCAGCACGATTTCTAATGTGAAAGGGGCGTTGTCTGTTTATGTGGCCGCACTCTCTCAGTTTGTTTTCAACAGAAATTCCACAGGACGCCTCGTGTGGTCCAGACAGCAGCCCGGGGTCCGTGCGTGACAAAGCAGACAGTCCAACAACCCAACAGGTCTTTTTTGCATGTGCGTGCGTCTGTGTGCTTGTATGTGCGCAAAAGAAACTGTGCGTCCTTGCGCGCTGGAGGAGACGAGGCAGCTGATGGGGGAGATGGGGGAGAGGCTGGTGGAGGAGAGGATATCAAACGGAATCCCTGATCACTCCTTGCCCCCGTTAACCAAAGACAGCTCTTTGAGAATTCCACTGGCGTCCACTCGCCTCCTCTCCCGGATCATGTCCTCCAGGCTGCGAAAGACCAGAGTGTGCACCCCGCTGCCGCTCAGATGCACTTTGAGGAAATACTGCTGCTCCGCCGAGTGCACCTCTCCCCCGGCTTTAAACTCCCGTTTCCCAAAGCGACACCAGGCTGCGAAACTTTCCGAGTTGGTCCAGCATATCTCCTCGCTGCGCAAGCCCAGGTGTCCCGCTGCGTTCTGCATCACCAGGTCAGGGGGGAGCGGCCGATACCGGTACCGATTGTTCACTATCCTCCCGTGGCGACCGCTGCTGATTTCAAGCAGGCTGTCCTTGCGGATCTCGCCCTTGTGCAGATGGATGACCTGGTCGTCCTGCTCGCAGATGGCCCAGTGGGGGGCTTGCGCCGCGGCCACCAGCTCCAGCAGGTCCCCCGGTTTGCACATAGTCAGCAAAGTTTTGGCCGAGTACACATTCAAGTCCTCGTTCTCCCGCAGTTTGGAGAAGATGCATTCCTGGGAGCAGAACGCGGAGTACTCCACCTCGCTGACCGAGAACGGTCCCTCCTCGGCCGGGCTGTGGTCCTTGGTGAAGCCGCAGTCAGACGGAGTGCGGTCGTCCACCTCCTCCTCTTCGTCAGAGAAGAAGTAGGCGACGCCGACCCGAAGCTCGTCCTTCTCCAGCCCGGACGGATCCCCCGTGGGCAGCTCGCTGTAGTTGAGGTGGGTGATCCGATCCAGTTGATTTCCCATCAATGACCTGGCAAGGCAGAGGCATGGACTGCGGTGTCTGAAAGAGAGGATGAAAGACGGAGAGATAGAGAGACGTGTGTCAATAGAGTAAAATGCAACGTCAAGCAGAATATAGTCACTTTCACGGGGCGCCACACATTACGCACAAAGCCTTGGCTGCGTTTAAATCCCTATGGGCAGTTGATAAGAGAGTAGGCTAAGAAAGCACTCAGCACTTCCCAGCAGACACCAAATAGACAGAAGCGCTATCTTGTTATTGAGCCGAACGAGTACACACAAACATGCCCCTTGCGCACTTTACACCCATTAGTCAATCATTAATTCCAGAGGAATGTACAAAGAGACAGCTGCCCCGCATGCAGGAGAAGGAAGCGGAAGAGGTAAAATTGTCTAAGTTGCTGCGTAAAAAGAGCGTGGAGACGGAGAGGAACTGTAAATAAAGGCCACTGTTGTGCCTTTACGCACGGCGCAAAATGAAAAGAAACACAGGATACCTGTGCGCTCCCCGGGCAAGCGGTTAAATATCCTTATTGTCCATTAGTACAGAGGGCTGCACGGTCCCCTGCTCTCCTCCTTCCCTCTTTCTTCTCACACTTGTGTGTCACGCTTCGCGCCGAGTACCGGCCGCTCCGGCTGTCGTGCGTGCCAGTACTTCACTTCTCTCAGCGCCAGCTCCGTTTAAGTACCAAGGAGAGCTCTGCCTCGCCTGGCGCGCTCCGCCCTCAGTGGGTCTCACTGGTGCACAGTCTCGGGTCCGTTACGCGCCGAGCCAATGGAAGCCGCGGAGGCGCACGTCAGTCAAGCAAGTGATCCAATCGAGTGCGAGTAGGGCGGCAAGGGGCGATAGGCGGCTGTTACCGTGGCATGGTTTTTGTTGTCAGAGGGAGCTGTGGAATTCTGTACATGATCAGCGGAGTCCGTATAGGCAAGTTTAAGGCAGCAGTCGCCGGTGATAAGAGGCTGCATATCTCAAGAGGAGCTGGAGCTTTTACTGCGCTCTGATGTGCAATAAACATCTCTGCTATCTAGAAAAAAAAAACGCTCCAGAGCTGCGCCCTTATCGCGCGCACACTGTTGCTGAAGGACATTACAAATGTGTTTCCACCTTTCCTAAATACACAAGTAGCTTCTGTCCTTCAGCCCCAATGTTTAACTAGTAGAATGATTACATCTATCTGTGAGTGTGTGTGTGTGTGTCTGCGGCTGGAGGGAGGGGCTGGAGGCAGGTGTTTGTGCACAAGGTGGGAACAAAAGAAGACTATACACGGAGATTAATACAAACTCTATCATATTTTATTTTGCATTGATGTCATGTGTAGGAGCAAAATATGACTGGAATGAAATGCATATCAGATTTCAGCCAGCAAGTCACTTTTGCATGCATAATGTAGTGTTACTGTGCTTGGAAGATAAATGTGCGTACACTTGTGTCATCCACACTCTGCTGCCATTTCTCCTTTAATCACCACTGCCCAGAGCAGAGAGCCACCTTGCCTTTTTAAATATCTAACCTTTATGTGGAAGTGAAGGTTTGTGCGTCGACTGCACATCAGAGATCTCTTCATCTGTTTCTCTATTTTCTTTTTCACCCCCTGGCAGCATCCAAAGAGCTCCAGTAAGAGTATCTCTCTCTTCTCGTCCTCTCCCAGATGGTGTGGAGATAGCAGCTCTCCAGTTGCTGACATAGAACAGTCCCTGGTCTTTGTTTCCTCTGGTGACAGGCAGAGCCGGATGGTGGCTTTTTTTCCCTCTAGGTGAGATATGATTGTGTTGATTTAACACCCTCTCTCCCACACACAAACACACACACTACGCACGTACACACACTCATGCGGCTACGTGTACATCCTCCTGCATTGTTTACATTTTCATGAGAGAGAGAGAGAGAACAGGTGTGCATGAATCTGGTTGATCGCCTTTTAATTAATAACTGGAACTGACTATGATGTTGTGCTTTGTGTGTGTCCATGTACTAAAAGTCACACTCAGGGAGATATACAATATATATGAGATTGATTTTCTGTTTTCACTCCATGGGCGCGGAGTTGGCCTCTGAAAACAGAGCCACACACAAGGTGTCACGGGACTGTCAGCAGCGGGTTTGGCTGCAGTTTCTTTGGGCATGTGGTCGCGACACCTATAATCTATGAGCAGAAATGAGTTTCCTTTGTAGACGCTGCCTTTTCTGGACACACACATACCCACAGCACAAGCTCTCCCTCACTTTCTTTCTGTCTCTCTCTCATTCTCTTTTACACACACACACCTCATCATATATGCTGCTGGTGTAATAATAAGGCAGGGTGCAGACAGTACTGGAATAACTACTGAGACAGGGTGATATTTCACAACCCCAATAATTGGATATGACTCGATTCCCTAATTACTAACTAAATCATATACGCCGCAGCGCCATACCATGCAGATAAAACAGACTGGCACATAGACGTTCAGCTGTCCACAAATTCATTCAACATCTGTGTGTGTGTGTGTGTGTGTCTGCATCACACCGAGCGCCTCTCCTGTGAACATAAATGTACAAATACAACTCACAATTTTCTCTGTTTGTTGTGCATGATACTGTAACATGTGTTGCACCCCTACATGCACTCACTGACCATACGTTTGAGTGAGACTGCCTTTGTTTTACTGTCTACATGCAATATGAAGGTTGTGTCTTTTGCGAAGAAAAGACTCCACATCAATTTATAAATCCTTGAAGCAGAAGAGAGGCCTGTATGTTTTGTTTGAGTTCTACAGAACTAAAATCTGTGAGGAGAGATTTTCTGCTGTGTGCTCTTTTTTTGAGTGTTGGAGCTGCAGCACACAGAAACGTGTCACGTGAATGTTTCAAAGGTGTGTTAGTCAGTATGTTGGTGGTGTTTACGTCGGCCCTCAGAGGTCAACACATGCAAAAAGACAAAACACAAGCAAATGAAGACAATATCTTTATCTATTATAATCCAGGTTGTTCACTTTCTTAGACTGTATTTAAAGATGGACGATACAGCAGCTGCCTAAAAGTGCAGCCAAAGCATCTTGATTGCCCCCTGGTGACTGGCTGTAATATAGGTTATAAATCCTGCCTGGTCATGTTAATGGATGTGACATGGACCGAATAAAAAAGTAAAAGTAGACGTCAAATATGTTTTTCTTAAAGATGGTTTTGTCATTTTAGGTATCAAACTGATGATGATTGTCCAAGTGCTCATGTTTCCAATAAGTTCGGTTTTGGTTATTAGATGCTATAAAAATGCAGTGAAACGTTCTGATTGACAGCTGAGAAAAACTCAGCTGATTGGTCGAACGCATATATTGTGGGACCTCGCTACTGCAGTTCCATCCCCTGATTGCTACTGCACAGACTTGGATCTCCATATGATATTCAGCAATCTGGGATATTTTGGCTTCATTTCTGGGTAGTGGGAGGAAGATACATCCTCCATCTATATACAGTCTATGATTCAGTTTTTTGACTTTATTGAAGTTAAGTGTTGGAAAATGTGTATACGTAATCCAGGAGGGTTCATTACTGTCCCTTGAACAGCCCTTTATTGCTGTCTGTATTATTTGCAGCACATTTCTGTAGAGGGTAGTGTATATTTGCACCGAATCTTTCTTTTGCTCCTGTAGCTGTGTGTTTCAGGTAGGTCAGAGGGCAGGGTCAGCTGGAGGCAGTGTTAAGCAAAAGTTGTGCATCACGCTCAAGACTGAGTCAGGGGTCAGCAGTTTCATGTGAAATATTGGGTAAGTTTGAGTCTGAAGTTGTGGTAATGGAGCAGTGAGCTCGTACACCTTCAGTTATAGCCATTAAAATCTCCTGCGGGGTATTCTTCTCTTGAGAGCCACTGCTCTCTGTGTTCTCTCTCTGGCAATTTTGTGACAGTGTGAAAAGTTTGAGAAAGATCCACCACAAAGGTTTCTCCCGAGAGGAAAGTGAATATCATTTTTGTGGAAATAAATATATGGCACCATCAATTAAGAAAGTGCTTGGGTACTGAGTTTTTCTGGTTGCGGGAGAGTTGTTGCCCAGCGTGAGAAACAGTACGTGATCTATCAAGTCAAGAGCCAAACAGAACAGGCAGCAGCAAAGATGCTGCCGCTGCATCTACAATTACTTTGCCATTACCTTGTCTGTTTGTGTGTCATGGTACATACAGACACTTATGTAAATTATTCACAGCAGCATGCTCATAGCTGGAATGGTTGGTGTAATGTATTTTTCTCCTATGGATATATAACAGTCAAATTGACAGTGTTTTTATTGACAGCGTTTTTATTGACAGTGTTTTTATTGCAAAGTATTTCAGCTCAATTTCAATCATTAGTTGTTTTAGGGCATGTGTAAAACATTAAAAGAATCTGATGCTGCTTTTGTCAGAAAATGCTGCACAAAAACAGTTACACCCTCCAGCATATATTTTGTTTATAGCTGTAATTGTAGGTGCTTATATGCTGCAGATGGCAGCCATCAACATAACCATCATATCTATAATCACAGTCGAGACTTTCCCACAGGGGGTTATTTCTTCACCTGAATCATAATCTCAGTGGGATAGAATTGTGGAGCTTGGTGTCTTTGCTGGGTTTAGCAATATAATAAGCAATCATAGAATATGGTATTTTATGTTATCAAGCTACATAATGTTCTGTTGTCTTGTTTTATTCAACGCTATGTTGTTGTACGCAATACAACATGTATTATGCTGTATGTTATGCATAATGCTACATTATGTTATGATGTTATGCCATGCATAGTTATGGTATGCTATGCAATGTTATGGTATAGCAATGCTATGTTTATTTCTTCTCTGCTGTGCTATGTTTCGTTATGCTATGCTATTCTATGCTATGTCCCCTCCTGCTATGCTTTGCTATGCTCTGCTATGTTTTGCTATATTTTATGGTATGCTATGTTACGTCAGGTTATGCTATGCTATGCTATTCTAGGCTATGAAATATAATATGCTGGGCTGTGCTATGTTATTCTACCTGTATAATAAAGTGTGACACTGTATTTTTCAGAGTCTGTTTCCATGTCATCACTTCTCTCTGTCAGCCCCCTTTGTTTGGATTCTGGATGAAAAATAAACACTGGCTCAAATCAGCGTAAATAACCAGATACATGGCAAAAATCCTACTGTTAATCAATTAGGCTGTCAGAGCATATTAATTATCCCATAATTGGAAGATGCCACGTTGGAGCATCATCTGTTTCTCTAAATGAGAGAAGAGAGACATTTAGAGATAGTGGGCACTGCAAAAAGTTCTTTTTTTTTTTTTTTGGTAAAGTTCATAAACTGATCAAGCATGCTTGCATAAGGACAGTATAGCTTTAATATATGTTCAGTAGCATAAAAGCAGTTGACTCTATCACCGTCTTAAACACACTGGTTTACATCCAGGCTGTCACATATGGCGTCAAGCTGTCCCAAGACATCTTGCAATTCAGCAGGGGAAGAATTGGAATAGTTTGGTCATGAAATGATTCTTTTGCCAGGAGGAAGGATTGAATTGGCACAAATGTTTCTGTATAACACCAGTTCCAAAAGTGTCCCTCCATGCTCCATCCGAATACAACCCATCCGCCCATTGTGATACATAACAACTTCATCTGTCTCACTGTGTTTATCTTTG